CGATTTCTCAAATGAGAACAGAACCATTGATTAGCAGAATCACGGATACCATATGCTTGAAGTTTTGAAAGAAGAATAGCATGGTTTAACGTGTCGAAAGCCTTTTTAAGGTCTAAGAAGACAACTGCATTGACAAAGCCGCGGTCGACGTTCAAAGACCAGCTATCTGTGGTTTCGATCAATGCAGTAATGCAGTAATCAGTTAATTTCTTGTCCTCAAATTCGAGTTCATTTATAATCGCTTTTTCAGATTTGCGACCCGTCACCTCATTAATGATCTCCCAGGTCTTACGTGAGTTGCCGTCACAAGAGGTAAAAGATTTCAAATAATAGGACTTTTTAGCATTCTTAATTCTTTTTTACCTTTCAAATCTGAATTCAAATTTCGCACTAACCCTGGGTTATCCTAAACTCGGCCCAGGTTTCCTCAATTGACATCAGTGGCGGATCCAGGAGTGGCCCCCACCCCCTCCCCGCTTATTTTCATTGCTTAATAGAACCCGAACTGAAAGAAAAGCGTTAGGCCTACACCTGTGCCATGCTTATGGGTTTAGTGGCATTGGCCAGCTCTTGCATTCGTGTTGCTAGTTTCAGATACGACCTTATGCTAATGCACCTATGCAGTAATAGGCATAAAAGGAATTATCTATCTCAATGTTTATATACTGTTCCCACGGATTTCCGTGCCAGATAAAATCTCTCTATTATTGGTAGGAGCCTTTCAAGCATGTCAATCTACAGCGCATGTCATTTGATCCCGGCTATAGGTACAACCTCGACAAAAATTCTCGATATATGCAGTTGTATCCATTCTTTAGAGCTTGTTTACAAGGACGGGAGGTAACCCTTTAGTGCTAGGTTTAACCTAGCAAGCGGAGGTTAATCCTACTACTCGCACATTGCCCTTCTTGCTAGCGAAGTTCCACGTTCGCATTTAAATCCCCAGCTTAAGCTATTTTTGTATTTTTCGTAGAGAAAAGAAAACCTAAAATTTTCGGATTCGAAAATGCGATGGAGAGAGGAATCAAAAATTTTTTACCATATCATCAAATAAAAAAGACTCGCTTCCTTCCCCAACCCCTACTAAACCCCGCATTACGGACACTCGCTTAATACAGACAGTTTTCTTTGTACCTGTACCTGGGCAAAGCCCATACATTTCCTCTAAATTCAACCTGCTTACTAAGGACACCCGTTAATGCGGACAACGGGCACTTGTTTCTTGCCCGAGTTGAAAGAAACCGTGGAAAGGCCTATTCAAATGGAACAATTACAATGAATTACAATTCCAATTTCTATAGCGTCAAAATCCCTATGGTTCTAAGTCGTTCACGTAACACTGAGCTGAACGATTGAATGGTATTGGATATCTTTTATTCAAAGACGGTAAGTATTAAATCAGTAAAACGTTTTAAGGGGCCATGAATACTGGTCTATGAATTCCAACTTGGCCGAGTTAAACTCGGGTCGACCCGAGAACAAATCCAGCTTGTGGTCAGGGTTGGGCCTCCCGATTATAATTCCAGCCCTCTAACCGCTCGGCCATACTCCCTTTAGCTCATATTATATGGACACCAGGATTAAAAGGACACGGTAAACGCCCTGCAAGGGTTTTACTAAGAATAGTTACGCTACGTTGACGACACTTTTACCGCTGTACACCAAGACGAAATCGACGGTTTTCACGAGCACCTCAACAGACAGAACGTGGACATACAGTTTACTAAGTAGATCGAGGAAAATGGTAATAAAACACACCTTTTCGCGACTGCTTGGTCACTAGCGACAACAACAGACCATGAAACGAGAGACTTATGAAATGACTCCTGGATTCAAACCTTTCAAAAGGTTTAAAATATCCACTACGCATAGAGCTATTTTACATAATTTTTAAGCATTGTTAGCCAGTGTATTGCTGTCAGAATAGGCCCTTTGCAGCTTGCCATTCTTGTGGTACAAAACCACCATGCTAAGACAAAAGTCACACTGGGACAAGACAAACAAGGAAAATTCCCATTTAAAATTATGTATGCCTTTTGATGGGCTTGCCCCAGTGCGACTTTTGCATCCCAGCATGACGGTTTTGTGCCACGTGAATGGAAAACTGCAAAGGGCCTATTGTCTCTCGAGACCAACAGGTCCTACAGTAGAAAGAGAACTCTATATAGTTAGTGTGCATTAGCTTGTTCCAGGTGTTCAGATAGCAGAGCGCGGGCGAATAATTGACGAGGAAAAAAAAAACGAGAGGAGACTAAAGAGGCAAAAGGGAGGTTCCCTGGCTCTCTCCCCAGCCTCCCTCGTTTTTTCCCCTCGTTTTCCTCGCGTACGATTTATCTTGCTCCCCACCATCTGAACACCGCGATCTATGATCTAAACTGGCCTCGAACAGGCCAGCAATGCAGGCAAAAGCATTGTGAGACATTTAGCCATGTATGCATCACTTCGCATCATAGTGTGTATTCATGTATCACAAAAAAAAAAAAACACGGCTCTGAATATTTTATTGAACTTGTTCAATCAGTTGTCCTAATGTCCTCATTAAAAACTGTAGATTACCTGGGTCAGAAAGTCTATGACCTCCATCTTTAATTAATGTCACAAGAACATCATTACTTGCACGTTGCTCAACAATATCAAGGGACACCTGATATGGTACGTCCTTATCTTTCATTCCGTGGATCAGACGGACAGGACAGTGAATAGGGTACACCTCATTTTCCTTTAGCACATGTTCCCTGGCCTCTTTGATCACTTTCAAATCTAACACATACGGCTCTTTGGGGCTGTACTCTGAAGGTATGATCCATTTTCCTGTAGACTCCACTTCTGCTTTGATTTCACTAGGAAGGTTGTCATAACGACGGGACAAAAAGTCCACAGCACTAGCTATTCCAACAAGTCCTTTGATTTGGTCAGGTCTCTCAATAGCAACACGAAGCATGACCCAACCTCCAAGACTTGACCCAACTAGGATTTGGGGACCTAAATTTTTTGAAACTGTCAGCACACATCATCCACTAAAATTACGTTTACGAGGTATTGAATCAGAAGAAACAAGGCAGCTGGTACATACATAAACTTTCTTACAAGTAAATAGGCAGGAGTTGAGCATGCAGAGCGAAAAAGGTGAGCAAACCCCAAAAATCAAGTTCAAAGAATACCAGTAAGCTGAGGAGTAAAAGATCAACCAGCCTCAATTCTATGGTTCAGTTTTTACTTTTGATGTTAAGACCTATGAACCAACTCACAGGAAGCCCTGGGCATACTGTAAAAGTAAGGTACATGTACCACTCTTGCTCCCAAGAGTGACTAACATTAATTCTCTCCTGACATAACAAGTTCTTTAAGAAAATGAATAGAAATCTGTCTGGAGAATTTGGATGTGGATATACTGAGGCCTAAAGGGTCAGTGCATACAAAAACCACCCTACATGAAACAACCATTGCACTGTATGAGTATATACTTTGCTAACTTGTTTTCAACAACCTTTTGGAATTACAGAGTGTGCTCTGGGGTCATCAACTTGGCGACTGTTTTCCACATTAAGTTTCAACATACAATTTTTTTGTTGCCATGGAGCCTAAATAGTAAAAACATGTATTTTTCCAGTCACTATTAATGGCCCTTCATTATAATGCCATTCCACTGTACTACAAAGTATATAATAAATATTGTAAGTTAGTAACCTTTGTGAGAGAAGTGAAATGTCTGTAGTAGCTGGGAGCATTGAGAGGTATCTGTATTTGTAGGTCTAAAAGTTTCTTAACTTTGTTTGGTTCTTAACTTTGTTTGGTCTGTGTTCCCACTAAGCATAAGATTGTTAACTTTCTAGAAAAAAAATTTTTAAAAATAAATCCTTGGCTGGTTGATCCCCATGAGCTGGGTAATCTTACTTATTCTGTACTCTTTTATTATTTTTGTACTCTCTCTCTCTCTGATTTCATGTTGTACCCCTCTTTGAGGAGGATAGCCTGTGAATCCAGCCTTTGTTAATGCTCCCTGCTGTCAGGAATGTTTTACAAGAGATGCGAAACATCCCTAGCAGCAGGGAAGGTTGAGAAGCATCTCTGTTGTTTGGGGGACACAGTCCCTGGTAAAAAGATTAAGGAGGCAGTAATTTATAACTTTGACAGGGTCCTTTACAACATCAGCTCCCTTGCCCAGGGTTGTCTACAGGATTACCGATAAAAGGTGCGTAACTGAGCCAAACGCTGCTCAGACGTTCCATTTTTAAACCAACAACCAACCCCCACCCCCCCTTTAAAGATGATAGGAATCTGAACTCTCAAAGTTCACTTTTTGTCTGCACCTTTGAGAAATTTGTCCAAAGGTTCCAAATTTTGTTGGCTTCTTTGAAGAAAAAATCCGGACCCCCGTTTGAAAACCAGTCATCCTTAGGAAGGGGGGTTGCAGATAAAAATTGGAAGGTCCACTCTTCACATGTAAATGACGGTGTTTCACCAGGACGTTACATGTCGACAGAAATCGATCATCTTAAAGTTAGTCGATACGTCAATAGTATGCAACTATCCCCTGAAGGGGAGGTGAACAGTGGTGGGTATATATACTGAGACGTAAAGCGTCGAGGCATGTATCTAGCACTGTTCACCGACCCTGACAGTGATAGTTGTTTTAGATTTACCAAATGAGTTTGATAAAATAAAAAAGTAACCTTTTGCAAATTAAAAACATCACTTAGCAGGAACATTGTTTACAATTGACAAACATTTTGGGGATTTTGACAAGTGCAATTGTAAACATTGTTGGGAAATGCTTTAACAGATTCTCTATACCTAAACTAGACTTTTAGAAGGCTTAAGGTTTAGGGATAGAGAATCTGTTAAATCATTTCACGACAATGCTTACCTCGTTTACCTGCCAGTCTGCAAGTCTGCAGTCTGCGTTTGCCGCACACCACGATTTAATTGAGCCCGTTCGATTTGTGGCAAGTCTACGATCTGGTTTGACACGAGCCTTTAAAACAGTGTCTAAAACGTTTGATTACGTCCCATACCTTTCGCCACATTATCAAGGATTGACAGCACATCCTCTTTCCTCATGCCAATCGTACATTCTTGACTTTTCCCACTGGATTTGCCGTGCCCCCTGTAATCGAATCTCACGTACGAATGTCCAATTTCTTTGCAAAATCGCTCAAGAGCCGTTGCTTTTGTGCCCTCCATGTTTGACATCAACCCGGGCAAAAATATTACCCCTGGAAGTTTTCCCGGAGAGTATCGATACGCGAGGAATTCTTCAGGAGCTAGAGATATGTATTGAACTGCTGACGCGGTATTTGCACTCATTTTTCTCCAATATTTGGTTGATGCTCGAGTGAAAACCTTGTTAAATTGCAGTCGCATTTTGCCGCCATTTTAATTAACTGACTTCTTCATTTACGCCGAAACGGACCATCCCTCATTAGGTTTGGTTGCATCCGGCGTCGGGGAAGGGAAAGGGATGACCAATTTTCTATTTTGGAATCCCCCATAATACACCCTCCTTGATCCCCAAATTTTGCATAAACTGTTGTTTTCAAATGCTCCTGGGAGAACTGCATATTCCCTAGAGCCTTAATTTTAAAAACATCAAACAATGCAAGTTTGGGGGGGAGGGGGAGGGGGTGCAAACACGGTGTAATATGATAGACAATGCAAAGATATCAACTTGCCCAAAACCTAGGCATACTTGACAGGTCATAGTCTGATATGTCATCTGTTTCCTCGCCCACCATCATTCTCAAGGTTGGATGTATAGAAGCAAGAGCTAGTTGATTCTCTTGATAGTGGATGGCTAAAAATGTAGTGCTTAGGGTCTAGGATTAGTGTGAAATTTAAGGTTAACTCCGAACTTTAGGGTTAGTTAAAATGCCCAATTTTCTGAATAAATCCGCTTGCTTTTGAGCCTTAAACAATGTGAAATAACCCAGTCACAGGAAAAAATAACAGATTCCCAATATTGGATATTTTAGGGTATTTAAAGAATACCCACAAAAATCTCAAATTTGGCAAAGTGAGACAAGTCCCAACCAGGGAATTCCCAACCAAGTTCCCTGGTTGGGACTTGTCTCACTTTGCCAAATTTGGGATTTTTGTGGGTATTCTTTAAATACCCTAAAATATCCAAAAATGGGAATCTGTTATTTTTTCCTGTGAGTCCACACATAATGCCTTGGAGATGTGTCCATCATACCTGCACATGCCATTTCACTGTTCAGAGCATTGGTGATATGGTCTTGAAACTTGACACTGTGGATGAGCCTGTAGTCCTTCATCTGATTTGATATGACGCAATCTAATTCCATGTAGGACATTAATTACGTAATTCAGATTCTCTGGGTTTAGGAAAGTAAAATCAGTGAAAAATAGATTGCTCTTCTTTGAGCCTAATTGGGTATGTTCTTAATTTTGTGACAAATTTCAGGCTGAATGTTCCTTATAAAAAAGAGAGTAACGTTTCAAACTGGGAGGGCTGCCAAGCCACAAAATATTATGTACTTCACCTGTTTGAAACAAATTGACAATGGTTGACTGCGATGAACTAGGACTGGACAAACACAGACAAGCAACTAGTCTGTGACAAGTCAGAAACAGCTACTTGTAAAATGCCAAAGTGTAACTGAAGAAATCAGAGTTGTCAACAATGAGAAATTTGTTACGACGCAAGTCTTCAAAACTCAATAAAAAATAAAAGATGAAGGACTACTCTTAAAATATGGTAAATTATTAGTTTAATGTACAAAATTGCGTCTTGCATTATACCAATGGAAATCTAAGTTTTCACAAAAATTACTGGCCCTTACCTTCACCAACAATATTTATTGGAAGGTTTATTAAAATTAATCTAAAGTTACCGGTAACTACAGTTGAACCTCCATTAGGGAAAGTTCATTTAATATGACAAGGGGTGGGGGGGGGATGAAGATATTGAGGGGGGGCTCGAAAATTTTTAGACACCGAAGGGGGCTCTGAAAAAAAAAATTGTTGCGCTTTGGAGGGGGGCTCCGAAAATTTGTATACTTCAAAACCAACACATGACATCATACAGATCGGATGGTTTTCAACTCAACAATTTAGTGACCTGTGCAACTCAGCTATATCATGTGGTTTACAGATATAACAAATGTAGTCTCAGTAATTATTACACTCTTGTTCATCCTAAAAACGCTTTAGAAAATTGTATCACAACTGTATCTCAAGTTTGTCATAGTATAAACCATTGACGACAATAACGGTAAATATATCTAATACAGTCTAGCGATCTTTTTTCAGGGGAGCAAAGGAATTGAAGGAGGAGGGGGGGGGGCTCTGAAATTTTTTTGACTACTAAGGAGGGGGCTCCTAAAAAATTGAACCGCTAGCAAGGGGGGCTGCTAAAATTTCAAGCTTCGAGTTTCAATAGCTTCATCCCCCCCCCCCCCTTGTCATATTAAATGAACTTTCCCTTAATCAGCCACCTATTCTATAAGCAGCCGCAGCCACCTTTTGTTCTGTCCCAATGAGTTTCACATTCTTGTCAACTCTATCAAGCGGCCATCAAATGCTTAATACACTTAATTTGGCTTCATTTTAAGAATACGATGAAGGAAAATACATTCCGAGATAGAAGGCGATGACCGATTGTGGAGCAGTAATGCTTCTGATTATGCTAATTTATGACAAACCTCTATTGAGCGGCCAACCTCCATTTAAGGAGCCACTTGCTAGTACTCCGAGGCTGGCTGCTTAATCGAGGTTCATTAACTGTATATTCACCTTTCAAGAATATACTATGACTGAATTATCCGAAATTTATCCTAAAATACACTGACATTAATATTACAAAAAATATGAAAAAAGTTACAAAACACAATATCATTACCTCCTACCTAAACAGAAAGAATAAAATGCAACCTAGACGTGTACAAGTTTTTGCAGGACAGAAACAACAAAACATCAATAATTCTTCGAAAATTCTACGTATGCTGGCAATTTTGCATGTCAGTCAATAATAATGCTTTACTTCTTTTAAACATATCTCAGACTTACTAATACCAATATTACTAATAACAGTGATAATCATTATAATTATGAAGATTTTGAACCAATGTTTAATTAAAGGTTATAATTGTTGAGACTCTGCAGTTTCAAACACCAATGCCTCATTTCAATTTTGATTGTGTCCAACAATGCTGGTTTTGAATTTTCAATTCTTTAACTTTCAAGAAAAAGTAGTTTTGAAGCCAATAATCAAGGCTCATTGCCCTAAGAAATATGTAGGGAGCCCAGTTCTCTGAACATGAGGAATGCAGGGTGCCGCTAGGAAGCATATTCTGATTTTTATGAATAGAAGACAGCCGTGATAATGAACTCAATCTTGAAAGAATGAAATAATGAAGTTAAAATTTTATTCTTTCTAGAAAGGCTTGACCAGGTTTCACCATATAAGTGTATCAGTCTGTATGCTGTAACCCGTATTATTAAAAACTGAATCATTGGATAATGCCATTCTAGTGCTCTCACCTCTAATTGGCTTATAGCCATCATGGTAAATGAGCCATTACACTATGCTCTCCAAATATGGTAACTCTATGCCTCTGCTCAAAATTAAAGTTGAAAATCGGTTGTTTTTACAAATAAAGTCAGGAAGAATTCTCGATATTTTGTCATCGTTTTTAATAAATCAATTATTCCACTCGCGCTTGTTGGATATGAGATGATTATAGCCAACTCATATCCAATGCGCACTCGTGGAATAATTTATTGTTAAATATTCTACCATTAACTTTTTTACTAACACAAAGGGTTAAAAACAAAGCGTAAACCCACAAAATGAGCTAGACATATATCTCTCAAAAGAGACACATTGCTTTTTGAAGTACATGAGTTCAAAATGAGTGACTATTCAAATATTGTTCCTACGAAAGTTTCTTTTAACTGAAATAATGTAAAAAATAGAGTTAGGATAAAGTGCAAGCCAGCGAGCCATGTGAGCCATGTGAAAGAAAAATGGAAAAAAATCGAAAAAGCAGTATTAAAATAATATGCAAAACAAAAAAAATAACCGAAAGCTAACCTTTGTAAATGAGTGTTTAATGTCAAAAGGCGCTTAACCCTAATCTGTAAAAAAAGTTTTTAACGTAAACAGCGCTTAACCCTAAATTTATCCGTAAACCAAGTGCTTAACCCTAATCGGTGAAAGTCGATCAATACTGTGTAATTCTCAAATATTCTATCAGCAGAGCCTAGGAGCTAAGCAGGAAACATTTTTTATGCATTTACAATTTCATAAAACTCTATTTTTTCCCATGGCTGACATGGTTCACAGATTGTTTGGACCCCCCCCCAAAAAAATTGACCCATAGAACTCCTGTGTCTTCACTGCTGTAACTACAATGTACGTGTTCTTACATTCACAATTTGCACATCAATACAGGAATAGATGAAAGTAAGAGATGTTCATCTTTAGGAAGTCTGCTTCTGGAGCTTGCCAAATAGGTATCCATTTCTTCTACAGCTTTCACTTACAAGTCCATAACAAGTACTGACATCTAGGGAGCATTTTTTAAACCATTTTTCAATTTATTGCAGGTATGACATGATACCAACAATCATCTTCCTGGAGGTGGTTGCTTTTCTCTTTCAGTCCCAAGAATATTAGCTTCAATCTCAGAAAGATCTATGTTTCTTTCTTTGATAGCTTTCTGTGGAGGCAAAAAAAACAAACATCTTTGATCTCAAATTATTGTTAATTATCAATAAGAGACTGCATCAGTTTTTGTAAAGAAAAAAAACTTGCTCAGGGGTCAAACTGGTAGATTTGTCTCGTGTTGTTATCGGTGTTAGGGTGTTCAGAACAGGAAAGCTACTCATAAAATTCTTGCTTGGGGTTGTGAGTAAAGAAATATCAGCACAAAAGGAAACAAAAAATCCTGTCAAACTCTTTTGGGGGATGGTCTCCTTTGAGGATCAGGGATGTAGGCATGAACTGGATGCTGTCCTATTTCACCTGCTGAGCTGAGAGAGCCAGACACTGGCTCAAATTACAAAGACATGGGGTAATTTTGAAGGTGCGGCTTAATGACTATTAACCAGCTTGATTTATAAAAAACCCTACTTAGACTTTACTTTGCTACATAGCTGCTTCAGGGGTCAAATAAAGCCTGAGCTACGCCCATATTTCTCACCTTTTGGGGCCTAAATCTAATTTTCTGACTGGCACCTAAGTCTATTTTATATGGGAGTTTCCCTAATCCCCCCCGCCCCCCACCAGAGGAGTCAGGAGCTCTATCACGTGGAGAGAATTTGAAATAAGAAACTGTACCAGTTAAAACAAAATTTCAGCCTACTGATCCGAACTCATCGTGTTCTAATTTGCTTTGCTCTGTTTTAAATAAAAATAACTGAAACTCTTTACCAAAACACACGTTCTGTAGCTCTTCAGCAACTCACTGCAAGGATCGCTCTTGTGATCCCCTTTGAGGTAACTTTCCGAATACCAAACATTGAAGCAAGCATCGTATTCTTTCTTCAAGTCATTACATTCAGGTCCTATACTGTTCATTCCTCTAAATCGGTTACGATTGCCTGCGAAATGCGAAATGAGTATCGTGCAACAGTCTGAATTTTTACACTGCTGTGTACGCGAGTCTGCGATAAGTTAGCGGTTTCACAGTAGGTATTTCATGTATGGGTACATGTATTGTACCACAACTTCGACTTAAAGACAAACATGGCGGGCAGTTCGACCAGAGAGGTAATAACACTTCAATTTGGACATTATTCCAACTTCGTCGGGACCCATTGGCTGAACATCCAGGAAAGCAGCTTTTGTTACGATCCAAACTCTTCAAATCAGCAAGAAATAAACCACGATGTCTTGTTTAGGGAAGGTTTAACCTCGCGAGGTCAGCAAACCTATACTCCACGACTGATGATTTTTGATTTAAAAGGAAGCCTTAGAAGTTTACCACAATACGGCACTTTGTATCAAACTTCATCATACCATAACGAATCTCCTTGGTGGGGAGAGGTGTCTGTACACGAGTCTGAACCCGAGCCTAAAAATGAGTTTCAGCTGGACCTAGAAGCCGAGGAACTTGAGGCTATGGCCGTTGATAATCGAACTCGTGATCAGGCTTATGCTGTTGACAATGAAACGATTAATCGCCCGTCAATCAGTTTTGTCAGTGAAGATGATGACAAGCCTTTAAGAGAGAAATTTTATGACCTTGATCAAGACATTTCTGTGTGGTCAGATTTTTTAGGAACTTCGTTGCATCCTAAGTCAATTCAGTTGGTAAGAGATTTTTTGCATGGAGGACATGCTAATCCTTTTGATGTGTTTGGATATGGAGAAGGTGTTGCAAAAGATGAGTACTTTTATGATGAGTTTGAATCCAGTCTTCACTTCTTTGTGGAGGAGTGTGACAGTCTTCAGGGATTTCAGGTCTCGTAATATTTATATATATTTTTTAGTGAAAAAATAGTCCTCAGAGCAGGCAGCAGAACTTGGGTAACATGCAGCCATCTTTTCCTTGAAAGCTTGGTCAATGGCTGCTGCCGCAAGAAGGGACTTTACTGAGTTATTTGCCATCAACTAATATTGAAATGAACCGGTTTAAAAAGAACGTGAGTGCAGCTGGGTATTCTGAAGTCTTAACCCAGTTTTAACTGGGTTATACTAATGTACAAATCAATTGAGAACAAATTAGATCACCTTGTGGGGTAGTTTAACCCTGGTCAACATTATCAGTTAATCAATCACCTTTGCCCACACTGAGAATTTTCCAAATTTAGGCTTTACCATGCACCCAAGCACTTAAATCTTTCGCCTCGCATCCAAGTTCCTGCTAGAGTTGCCCCAAGTCAACCTCTTTTTATCAGTAGTACTTGGCAAAATTTGGCCATTAACTCTAACCTGAGTGCATGAAGCGAGCATTAGAAGAAAAGCAAGTGACAAAGCAAAGCCTCGTGAATCAGAAGGAATTTCTGAAAGTCTGAATTAATTTCGGCTCCTCGTAGAAATTAACCTGGTTTAACTTTTTTAACCAGGTTATTCAATAACTAACCCTGTTAACTCGCTAAGTGTGGCCACAGACCATAAGGGTTTAAGTTTATGGCAAAGAATTTTTTGTCATGTTGGAACTAGGCAGGCAAGATAAGTCCATCATACCTGCTTATTATAGGTAATGTATAAGAACAGAGACTGGACTTCATCTTGCTGGCTTGCAGACTTGCTAGCTTGTAGAACCATTTATGCACTTTTCAAAATATAAAGTTAGCTCTGCAAGGTTATTTATAATTTATTCCTTTTCACTGGTTAGTTGTCCATTTAGACAGGATGAAATATTATTTATTACTTCTCCCAATAATAGGATCACCTCCTCTGTTTTCGTAAGAAAGTATTCATTTTCTGTAAGCTTCCTCATTAAAGAATGACACCCCTTCTGATGCTAGTACTAATCTAACCTCTCTGCACTGGCTGCCTTAATTAAGGAGAGGTGAGTGGGTGTTATAAAGATCAGGTGGTTATAAAAAACATAGTTGCATGGCCCATGAAATGGGACATTGGTTTTAAAAGAAAGAGTGCAATCATGTATCTCTTTAGTTTTTGAAATGCTGTAGATAATCATAACTGATTAATCAAAAATGCAAACAAAATGCTCAGAAACAAACAGAGCAAAGGGAGCAAAATACAGTTAGTAAATCAGTTTGTACATATTTGTTCTTAAATGGTTGTTTTTGCAGCTAGCAGTCACTTAAGTGGCTTTCAATTTGTGGAAAGCTGGCTACTCTAGAATGGTTTCAAGATTAAAACAAGAGAGGCAGTTAATCATCTTATTTTGCTTTTATCTTGTTAGATCTTTGCCGATGTGTGTAATGGGTTTGGAGGCTTGTGCAATTATCTGCTTGAAGAGCTCAAGGATGAATATGGAAGGAAGTCATTTGTTACATTTGGTATGACTGAAACTCAATTGCCAGATGGAACAACTAAGGAAACTGCCTACAGAATTCTAAACTCAGCCTTATCCTATGGACAGTTATCACAACATAGTGACATATTTATACCCTTGTCTCTTGCTAGTGAAGCAGTTCCACACACAGGACCCCCGAGGGAGTTTCCTCTGCTAAATTACAAGGTATACTGTTATATTTTTATTTAATTGCAGAAAAATTTTTTTTAAGAAAATAGAGGGAAGACCATCAGTATTATTTACTCCACTTTATACTAGCAATTAGTTATGATAATGACTCAAAAAATTCATATTTTGATGCACTATCAAAGAGTTTGGAATAATCTTGTCAAGGCTCTGTTGTGGCCGACTTAGTAGTAGTTGTGTACTCCATTTTGCAATATGACAATCAGCATCATACCATCTGATTGTTTTTAAGTTTACAGTTTGCAATGGTTTTTTTAGTTTACAGTGTAAGGAGTAAGTGCTCTTCTGTGTCTTGAACTGTTAGAGTGAAACCTGGCTAATATGAACACCAAACGGACATACAATTACCAAAGATTCTGTTTCTGCATCACTTTATTAGTTATAGTAGTCGTACTGTAAAACTTGAAAACATTGCGTCCTCTTTTTCAAGTTTCAATCTACATGTCCATATCCATCCTTGCCATCTATAGTGACAAATGACAGGAAACAGTTTCAATACCTAAAAATAGTCTCAAGTAACAAAACTGGCAATTATTTGTGGAACTCAGTTGATGCAAAGACACGTTTTAGCCAGACAAAACCCCTTTAAGCAGCAATTCTGCTTTCATTTGCAGCCATATCTATCGTACCACACAAGTTCTGTGTTAGGAGTATGTGTGGACACGATTACCATGCCATATCGGCTCATCACGCAGCAAGCCTCAAACATGAGCAGCTTTATCGACAGCGTGGCACATGGAGAAAGAAAGATTGCTAGTCTTTCATCCTCTTTTCCTCTACCTGTGGATGAGAACAATTCTTTAGCTTCTTTTTTAGGATCAAGACTACAAAGTTATGGACGGGAGCTCTTACAATGCATATCACCAGGAGTGTCAAACAGTTCTTCTCTTATTTCCCAGTCTGCGGTGGTCAGAGGAATTCCGGTTACTCACGCTTATAACCCTGAAAAAAATATAAGTACCCAGACTTCTCTACAAAGTAAGAACCCACTTGAAGCATGTGCATCGGCCAATGAAATCGTCCGGACATTCCTGGAAAATGTACATCCTAATACCTCCCCTCTGTGTTGGAATGTTAACCAGGCTTGCATGGCTAAACCACCATTCCCAAATATTTTTGCCCCTAAAGTAAACAGCTATGGATTTTCGGTGGAAGGATATGTAAGACCCGAAAACACCCGAGTTAATCAGACAAATGTGCTCAGCCGCTTGGAGACAAACTCCAGTATTGGGAGCATGTTGTTATCATTAGTGCAATGGGCAAAGAAATCAAACATTAGCAAACATCATGTCTTTTTAGAATCTGGAATTGAAGTGGAAAGTTTTAACGGACTTCTAGAAGAACTAAGTAGTCTATCTCAGCGATATGAGAACCCGTGACGACAAGACTCCTCCCTGTCCCGCCACTCTACAGATTCTTCTCTGTTTTAGGAAGAATTGGAAGTCATTTACGAACGTGGGAACTACGATCAATTAAGTCAGCGGCGAGTATCGGGCTACAAAATAGAGCACAGTATAACCTTGATATAACGAAGGGCCAAGGGACTGACCTAATACGTTTGCTATTACGAGGTTTCGTTATATCGAAGTTCTTTTTCAGAGTTGAGCGCTGTCCAAAATTTATTCTATTCAAGTTTAAGAGGTTCTTTCTCATAATATATTTTACTATTACTGGGGCGAAGAATATCGTTCGTTTTACCGAGGACTTCGTTATGTCGAGGTCCCACTGTGCTATTCGCCAAACACTTTTACGATTTTTTTAAATAAGGAGTCTTGTTCTCACGCACATTTTTAAAAATATTTTATTATTATTTTGCCACCTTTAAATTAAACACATAACAAAATTCAGATGGACGAGGCAAGGGTCGGAAGCCCATCGAATCCAATAAGGCTTATGAAAAGGAGCACGTATAAAAATATATCACCATTAAATTGTGAAAGAAAATACTGGCATCCACAAGACAGTTTAACTAAACACATGCAATTTCTTTATAACCCTTAAAAATAATCATTAAATTGGAAAAAATAGATAAAGCTAAACGTGCAAATGCAAAAAGAAAAGGTGAGAAAAAATGCAAAATGCCAGAAAAAAAAAAAGCATTCAGAGAAGTAAAGTATACTCATACCAAGCAAAATGACTTTTTAATGCTGTTTAGAAGTGAACACAGCAGTACTAGAGGCATTCTGAATTTCAGTGCTAAGGGAATTAAATATTTTGGGGCCTTGAAAACAAAGTGAAAATGTCCTTAGATTTGTCTTGTAGTAGGGCAAATGGAAGGAATTCTTACTTATATGAATGTGCGTCACAGTTAAATAAAAGCATGTCGTTGAAACTATCAGGAAAAGGCCGTTTTTGTAAAGATGCACACTTTACCTGTGCGAAATTTGATAATATCTTCAAA